TTATAAAAAAAGCCGACAGTCAGCATCACTAGTGAACATCCTGCGGAAAAGAAAAAAAAAGTAGTGATTGTGGGGAATGTCCCGTGTACTGCTAGCATTGTTTCTTTCTGACTTATCAGTGATCCGCTGTGTTTTAACTTTAATTTCTCCATGCTGCTTAGGTTGTGGCACCAAAAATATTTTTGATATTACTTGTTAGACACTCTTATCCAAAGCGACTTACATACTCAATACTGTGGACAATCCCCACAGGAGCAATTTGGGGTGAAGTGTCTTGCCCAGGGACACAAGGACATGCTGACTGCAGTGGGGTTTGAACCTGTGACCCCCTGATCCTAACACTAACGCACTAGTCCACTGAGCCACATGCCTCCCTGATATAAAGCGGATCACTGCACTAAATGCGGCATTAGGACCCACTAGACTCAGGTTAGCCAAAGTCCACCTGTCCATAATGTGAAGGGAGCACCAGTTGTTGCATTGTGGCACCGGAACTCGTGGACACCTCACTGAGAATTAAATGGATGTAGTGTAGTTTTTTCCAGGAAAATAGATTGTCTCTGAGCTCAAGAAATAAGCTAATTGAAGCCATCTCATGCTTTTAGACTATATCATTTAAGAACAGCAAACCACAGCTGTTGACCAATAACAGTTTTCCAACTGTTTTAACAAGGTAAATGTAAGCATATTTTACTTGTATCAGCTGATCATTTTGCACTTACCGAATGAAACGACATAGAGTTAACTTGATCACATTACAGAATACAATGGTAATTTAACATTATGAACAATTGAACTTCTTAAACGCATTCAGTCGGGTTCAGCTTTCGAACAGTTCATATTCCGTATAATGCCTTCAGCTAAATTTATTTATTTCACATATTTTATCATTTATTTAGTGTATTCACAAGCTTTTCGTGGTGGCTGTTTCAGTAAAGGACTGTACAAAGGGAGGACAATCCTAGTTTTTCTTTTTGTATTCTTATACACACAGTGTACAGCAAGGCTTATTGGCATTTTTAACAAGATTGATTCACTGCCAATGTTGTGGTTTGGGAATAATCACCTCTAATACAATTAACTTACATTACATTAATCCCATCACCCAAAGGTTTTATTGGATTCTCTTTGCCTAGTGATGCCATTGATAAAGAAACAACATGGTTGCATATTATAACCAGTAAAAAATCGCATGATTGGGATATTGGAATTAACCTGAGGTCTTTCTTTACTGAAAATATTTAACCGTTGACTTTAATTAAAAGTATTATGTCAAAAAATGTCACTACCTGTATTAGGTTAGTTGAAAGCAGTAATATTAAGTTGAACCTAATATGTTTTATTCAACTTAATATTATTGCATTCAACTAACCTAATACAGTTATGAGAAATCTGTTGACATAATACATGTAAAAAGTCAGATTCAAAGTCAACAGATTCCGTTTTTTCATTACAAATATATATATATAACATAAGAAAAATAATAATGGTCCTTTTTGTCGGACATAAGGCACACATTAAGTTCACTCCATGACACTTTCTCAGATTACGTTCACTCTGTGCACATATGTGCTAGAATGGGCAGGAAATAGTGACTTTAGCTGCAGGCAGTAGGGTTGAGTGTCCCTGTGAGTTTTTGTCTGTGAGCAAGAGAGTGAATAAGTGAGTGGACTGAGAGAACGAGGTGGTTGAGGGAGGCGCTGGACCGTGAAGGAGCCGTGAAGCGGAAAGGGAGGCTGATGACTGTATTAGGTGCCATCCGTCTAAATGTGTGACTCTTGTCTAAAGCGCTATCGGGGAAGGTCCATGTGATCCCGGTCGACAACACAAACGATCCAGTTCGGAAAGCGTCAGCGTGGAACCAGACCTCATGACCTACCAGAAAGGGACGCCATTGTGTTGCAACAAGTCCCCCTATTCAGCACCCATTTACAAGGTCATCTAAGGCGCATAGCTACAAAACATTCTGATCCATCACAAGACGCCAGTAAAAATAAAATATACCCATGTATTTATGATGAAAACAGTTTGCTCACGGTCCTCTCCGCCTCCCTTTGAGTCAGAGCGAGGGGAAGAAAAGGAGGACACGTCACCTCCCATCATCTGGAGAAGACTTTCTGCTCATAGCACTTAATCTAGAGAGCCTCCCAAGAGTGGCAGAGGGCAAGCCATTAAAGGCCTGCTGAAACACTGCTGATACTGTCAGAAGGAGACAGGAGACACGACAAAGGGAACATGTCAGGAAACTCCACCAGAGGATGTGACACTCACTGCCCAGACTAAGAGTGTTAAGGAGCCAGATCAACTCCAGTGTAATTCAATAATTCATCTTTAATGGGACACTGATGCAAGGTATGAAGATACATGTCAGTTGTACAGGTAATAGAGACCATGGGCGGATTGTGAGACAATGGATCCCTGGGCTAAGTCAATCAAAAAGCCCTAATAAAGGACACTTTAGTTGTTTAGCCTTTTTTTGTAGTCGTTTTGCATCTCTTTGTGGTTGTACTGTGACTCTATGGTCATTTTGAGTCTATTTGGAGCTGCTTCAGGTCTCTTGGTCCTTAATTTGTGCTTTTTTTCTTGTCATTTTGTTTCTCCTTGGGGTTTTTGTTCCCATTTTCATAGTCGCTGTACATTTTTGGGGGGTAATTTGGTTGTTTGTTGCCTTTGCATTGTTTTTGTGAGTCTATATGTAATTGTTTTGCATGTCTTATGTGTTATCTGTCTGATTGGGGTCATTTTGAGTCTTTTGGGCTTATTTTCCAGTGTGTTTTTTGGGTGTTTGGTATCTCTTTGTCAAATCTCCTATAGTGGTTGTTTCTCCCCTTTTTTGGTAGTTCTTATATGCCTCTTCCTGGTCCCTTTGTGTCTTTTTGTTGTCACATTTAGTCTTATTGGTTGTTTTTATAGTCGTTGTGATTGTCTTTCTAGTCTTTTTGTTTGAATTTGTAGTCATCTAAACTACAAAACAAAAGGCTAATTTAACTTTAAACCATGGCCAGTTGCAAAAGAGGACGTCTTGACCCCGATACATGAACCACCACAATATTGTCTTTTCATCCAGAGGCTAAATCATCATGCTAATAGTGCACATTAGCATGCTAACACTTTAATTTAATTCTGAACATGGTAACTCTATACACGTGTTAAACATCGACATGTTAGAAAGTAGATGAAGAGATACAGATTTTTGATAATATCCAATCTCCCTCTCTGTCACCCTGCTAAATGAGCCGGATCATCTCAATACAGGAAAGGATGTGAATACCAACCAAGAGACAAAGAACCTTTTGAGCCAAATATTATAGTCCACCATTTGACTTAAAGGTCCCCTATTATACTGTTTTTCATCCATATATTATAGGTCTCAGATACAAAACATGTCTCTGAAGTGTTTGGCTCCAAACACCAAACATATCATTGCAGCATTACCCATAATCCCCTCTGTTTCAGCCCTGTTTCCAAAGTGCTGATTCTCTGTCTGGTACTTTAGATGAAAATAAGGAGCCCCTCCCCACGCCCCTCTGAGAGATATTTGGTTAAAAAGACCTCAATGGTGCTCTCGGAGGAGATTCAGGTGATAAGGGCGGGGGGTGGGGGGGGGTTACCTTGGTTGGTGATTGGCTAATGGTTACAAGAGCCAAAAAATCGTTATGACATCATAAAGTGGCCAAAATCTGATCAGCTCATTTTCATTTTATATAAATGGATCAGGACAAAAAGTGAGCCAATCTTTTTTCCTGAAGCTTTCAGAATCTCTTTACACATGTGTATGTATGAAAGACATGAACAAGTGTATTTTGCATAATAGGTGACCTTTAACTAAAGCTACAATGGTAGAGTTTGGAAAAGAGAAGCCTGGACCCAATAACCTGCGTTCTGATCATTGGTCTGACAAATTCAACCTCCCCAGTGAATGCACTATAATGTCATGAATATAAAAAAGTGGATACAAGTTATTCTACAGTTGACTATGTATAAGAGTTGTGTGTATTTGCTCACTGTGTCGCCTAGTTTTCTGTGATGATGCGTATTGAGTTACAAGGGGGGGAGGTATTGGACAATGGTACGCTCCACTGGCTGATGTCCAATGACAGACCGTCGGCAGTAAGAGGGGAATGTTGCACGTTAGGCAGGTCAGCAGATGCTTGGCTGACAGTCAATGAAATATTCAAGTCGAGACACTGTTATCATGGATCTGATGTATGTAATGTCTCAGAAACAGACTCAGGGTAAGATCAAGAAATGTGTTCCTGAAGTGCAGGAAGTCACAGGGACATCACATCACAAGAAACATGACATTTTGATCTACCTTTAGCTTTGAAGCCCACCCATCTCAAACTATTCAAATCAACTGAAAGTAAAATAAGAAGTGTTAAATTATTATAACACAAATTGGAGTGTCTCAGGAACTCATTATTCTCTCTTTTAGAAAGTAGAATAGATTAGTGCTGTCGAAAAATATGTTAATATTCTGCATAAAAGCAAGTACATTTATATAAATATTTCTTCCGATTCAAGTATTCAAATAGTCTAGTCTGGCCCAGTGATAGTATTTATTAATGGTTTTCATTGCCAGCAAATTCTTATTTTTTTGGCTGTGTGTCTTCTATAAAATGGTAATGGGAATACAGGAAGTAAGCAACATTTGAATTCTGCTAACTTGCTTGTTCCTGAGATTTGTACTTTATCATATCAGCAGATAGATATCGGGTCGCTCATGATATCGAAGAAACTAGTAACTTTAGAACACAACTGTTTAATCCTTTTACATTACTGCCATCTACTGGAACACCCTGCACAATACAAGTCTTACCTCCATAGTCAAGCTACACAGTAGCTACAGGCAATATAAACGCAGATAACATTTAAAAAAAGTTTAGGAATGAACAAATCAGAAACATGCTTAAATCATTAATAATAGTCATGAGAAAAGTCACACACACTGGGCTAGATTTAGTTGGACCAACATTGACACTGCTACAGACACAACAGCACCAAATGGAAAAGAGAACTTTATTACAACACACAGACACTGTATATCCAGTCACTTTCAACACATTAGCTTATACAGAGAGTCCTGAAACCTGGGTTGCAGTGGATATGAAACCAAACCCAAAAGTATTGTCATTGTCAAAACCTAAATTCATGCCCATTAACATCTATTACCTCTGGACATTTCAAATCATACAGAGTAGATGGGAGCATGCCAGACTCCTAAAAAATCTCCAAAACGTTGCATAATAATGTACTGTACAAACTTATATTGCATATACTGCACAAAACCAACAAACGGCTCTCGCATTAAAAAACAGGTTTAGTATTCTGTAGTGGATGGTAAAATAACATTGGTGTAATACTGAAGGTGCATGATAAGTGTTTAATGTACTTAAAATATCTAAGAGGATCACACCCGTTTGAGTCCCAAATATATATATATAAAAGAAAAAGTACCTCTTAATGCATTTTTGCTAAGGCAACCATGACAATGTTATGTAAAAGGAAGGCAAACAGTAACTGAGCTGCCATGTTAACACATGTTCTATGTACACACATGATGGAACAGGCCCTTCCTGCATTGGTACAATAAGGTGTGTTATGTGAAGATTTATAACAAGTTATGGAAGCAAATGACACACATGGATACAACATGTCAACAATGAAGGAAGGTCTATTCAAATGGCGTTAGTGCCTAACACACACTTAAAGAAATACTTCACCCACAACATGACTTTTTTCGGGTACTCCCACTGTATTACTCTAGAAGAGAATGAGTTTCTCCATTGGGAACGAGTAATCAAAACAAAAGAAAGTCAATGAAATTTAAGTAAATGGGAGCCACGTTAAACATAAAAACTCACGTTTTACTTTAAACTTTACCATTTAATACACTTCGGAATCGCTAGGTTTTGTAGAAGTGTATTACATTGTAAGGTTGTATTAAAATTGCATGTTTGTTTTTTTTAAATTAAGGAGCATACAACTTGATAAATAAGAATTGGATTTAACTACACAAGTTGTGTGAGCAAAAATATATAATTTTGATGCTGTTAAATGCAGCCTCATCTACTTCAATTCATCAAGACCTTTTCTGTTTTTTTATATCCTTTTTGCCCAGCTGGCACAAAACTAAATAAATAAAAAGACTTTACCTTGAGACTTTACACAGCGTGAGTAATTGGTATACTAATGGTCAATCTGTAGGTGACATAGGCCTTTAAAATCATGGGTGATATACAAACTAAAGTGGAGGGATAAGCAGACTCTCACGCACCTTCCAGTGAGGCACAGGTATTGATCTTGGCTTTTACATCAGCAGCACCCAATACATTACAGACACTCATTGGCCAAATCATGCTTGGAATGGATCCAGCACAGAAACAAAAAAAAGTCTAGCAAAGTACAAGGTCATTAAAATCACACACATGCACTGAATACATACCATTGGGGAAAATGAGAGAAAATATGTAATGTTATATTTCTCCATATGCTTTGCATTAGATGTAGACATTTCAAAATAAGCCACCTTTAAGACATGAAACAAATGTGAAGAACTTAAAAATCCATACCCCAGACCATTCAGTTGTATCATTATGTTGCACGCCACAGCATTAAACACTGCCATGGGTTTCTATTGCACACAATCTAACACTAACCCCTAACAGCGGTTAAGTAGCAGGTTTCCTAACAACTGCTCTGAGGTACCTAAATAAAGGAAAGGCATTTTATATCCAACCAGTTCAAACAATCTACAAAAGTGGAATAATCTGGATCAACTAGAAGATTTCATGTACAGGCACAATGCTGTTGAACTGATGTTATCTCACATTGTGGTTGTAAAATACATCTTTTGGATATACTATACATACTTTTCATAGTTTGAAAATAGATTAAATGGATCTTAAATTTGCTCAAATTAAAAAGGAGGGGGAAGGAAGAGAACAGCAACACATTTACACTGTCAGATTTCTCATATATTTACAAAAACAAAAGGATTTTGAATAAAAAAGTATACATCTAGGTATATTCCTCCGGCAGTTGACACGATGCAGAGGATCCGTTCAGCCTCGGGGTAAAAACACTGTTTCTATAAGACAAGATTCAGCGCACGCACAAGGCAGCGTTGTGTTGCTGTGACAGGTGACTGCTTTCCTCGGGGGAGCTCCTCTTTTCACGAGATTGTTCACTTTGTACATTGCTCTGTGTCTCCGGGAAACTTTTGCCAGAGGATGGAGGACCTATAAGTTCTGGGGCATTGTGGGAACGTCGAGACCTTTTAAACGGAGGAGCAGGAGCAGCAAAGTCCACTTTGGAGTCTTGCTTTTCGAAGACATCCAGTGAAGAGTCCGAGGCGTGCGGGGCGGCCCTCGCTGAGCCACAGAGAGCCGCTTCATAGAGCCCCAACGCCTGCTCCAGAGCTGCGGGACTTCCTTTAAAGGGGGAGGCAGCTGCATCGCTCTGCTGGAATAAAGAAAGAACTATTGTTAACATTTCCTTATTATTTATCATATTCAAACACTTGTTCTTACACATTTAAATTATTTGAAATTGTGTTGTTTCTGTCAAGAAAAGGTGGCTTTAGATCAGATGAATAAATGAGACCAACAGATAAAAGCTGGGACAAAGGGATGAAGACTAAAGCAATGGAAAAGAACAACCGTCCATAAACAATAAAGGGTTTGAATGTATTCAAATAATCAGGTAACTGTCAAAAATGTAGGCTGTAGATGAACATTACAAATATGACTTTGATTTTAAGTTAAGAGGTCTTGACTGCTTATTGCAATCAATTCTTTGAAGCTATTTGCTACCAAATGTAGCAATTCTGAAATCCAGGTTAAAAATGTTCTTTTTTATTTAACGTAACTTTTGATTATATAACCTTCTGTTTAGTAAGTCATATGTGCTTTGTCACGTCTTTTAATCATATTTGATAAGCTTTCTCTTTTTTCAAGAAAAGCCCACTCCATTAAGTGAAAATTAAAGGAAATAAAATATCTATTACAGAAGAACGCTAAAGCTGGATATTTGGGAGGTAAAGGCATTCTCAGGGCTTTCAAAATATTATAACAGTCTGTTATTATTATGTATTATTAAGGCACATTTTCAAAGAAATTCCCTGTCCTCTTCAAAGAGTAATGGAAAGTACAGATTTTGTCTTCAGATTTTAAATAGTCAAAAGTATTCTTTGTGCCATTTGTTCATTCCATTGCAATGCAAGAAAGCCATCAACTACATTATGGTCCTATTCCTTGATAAATATATATAGCATGAAATTAATACAATAAAACATGAAAAAAAGGGGGTGACAATCAGAATACGGTTAAGGTTGCACTAGAACGTTTTTTCTAAATGTTTTTAAAAGCCATTTTAATGTCACTGTCTCCCTCTACTGGCTAACAGGGGGAATAATGTTCAAGATGGCACTTCAGGATTGTAACAATCTTGGACTAACAAAGTAACTTCATGTTTTAGAATTGGCTTTATCACTTTCATTTCCAAATATTGGGCCACAGATTTAAAGAAATAAGTCATTTAAAGTTTTCTTTCAGTCCAGTATCAATCCCATTGTTAATAATGCTATCTCAGTGCTAGCATGGATAACACTGGGGTATCAATGCTAGCAATGTAAGGGTTAGTGACTGACATTTTACTACATGTTTAATAGCGGCTTTGGATACTTTAAAATAGTTTGCATAACTCAAATGTTGGAAAAAAAAGATATAATAATCCAATAGAAGCTTTTTTACGCTCTCTGGCACCTAATTTACATTTGTACGCACAAAAGGTTCCCATTGTGAAAAAAATCATCATCATTGTGAGTAAGGAAATGGTCAGAGGGCCCCCAGGCTCCCTTTTGCTTTTGTAAGTTGAATATCACTGTAATGATAATATAATTCATTGCTGAGTCATAATTCTGACATTTGTATACATTTATTTTAGCAGCAGTCACCTCACTACCACTCCAGGCACGGCCATCCCTCATGATCTTCTCCATATATCTCATCTTCTCCAAAAAACATGTCATCCTCATCATGCTCCTCCTGTTGGCCGCGGAAACAAAGAGTGACGTGTTGAAAACCACTGGTCCACTGTCAAAGGGGCTGCAATGACCTCAAGAGGTGACTACAGTCTTTAATCTTTTTACCGGTCTAAGTATTAAACAAAATGACAATAAAAAAATGGACTGGAATATATATCAAAAGGACAATATGGTGGACAGCGAACGACATACAAACACTCAAGGGCTGCACAATTAACTGTAATGGTATCAAAATCGCAATGTTAACCCGTGCGATATCCAAATTGCAGTAAAAACAATAGTTGGTCAAAGCTAAATATGTACAAATATCTGAAGTATTGTGGAACTGCAGAGAAGTTCTGGCCTACAAATTGCAATATGAGTCAAAATAATTGTATTTCGTTCTTTCTTTTCAAAATGGTGCAGCCCGTAAACACACATAAATGCTGCGTGAGGAGGATGCTGCAGAGATATGGCACTGACCTGTGGGACCACACATGTGTTGTAGGTGGTTCCTGGGAAGGGAACGTGGTCCATTCCTGTAGACATGTCCACCACGATCTCGTCTCGGTGCATGGGGATGGGCGGGCCCCCCCGCTCCTGTAGGGCCAGGACAATAACCGTGGTGTTGTCTGCACGCAGCATTCGCTCTTTCCAGAAAAGGAGTGCGGTGCAGCCCAGCCGGCGGGCGCAGGACATTCCCTTTGGTCCCTAAAAATAAAAAATAAAATTATTTTAAAAATCCTCTAAAGAGCCCAGGCTACAAGTGTGAAGATGTTGATACAGCCATTTTCATACTGTCAAACTATTTTAAGAATGTATGATAATCCCATTCCACAAAGTCTTACAGAATGAATATATATCATGACACTTTCCCAGTTGATAACTTCATTTCCGAAGTTTTCTGGAATGATATGTTTACATATGCAAATAAAGCATTATACTATCATTTGACTACATTTCAGGAACAGAAATATAAATATTTAGAGGAAGCAAGTTTCCTTTTCTGATTTCCCTTTTATTCAAAAATATTATGGGGATCTTTTAGGATATTTTTTTTTTATCACATTTCAGAAAATACTGTCAAAATGCATTATATAAATCAGGCATAAAGAAAGAAGTTAAGAATGAGAAAACCTTTTGACCTTTAAAATATATTTGTAAAAGTGAATGCATTTTGAAAGACACTATGAAGGATTGGGGGTTAAAATGTGAACTAGTACATACGCTGCCCGTCCACAAAGAAAGTTGCACACTCTAATATTTCATTGGACCGCCTTTAGCTATCGTTTCGATATGCTTCTGCAATGTCCATCCATCCATCCATCCATCTTCTCCCGCTTATCCGTGGTCGGGTCGCGGGGGTAGCAGTTCCAGCAGAGAGCCCCAAACTTTCTTTTCCCTGGCCACATCAACCAGCTCTGTCTGAGGGATCCCAAGGCGCTCCCAGGCCAGCGAAGAGATATAATCCCTCCACCTGGTCCTAGGTCTACCCCTTGGTCTCTTCCCAGCTGGACGTGCCTGGAACACCTCCCTAGGGAGGCGCCCAGGTGGCATCCTAACTAGGTGCCCAAACCACCTCAACTGGCTCCTTTCGACGCGAAGGAGGAGCGGCTCAACTCCGAGTCCCTCCCTGATGACCGAACTTCTCACCTTATCCCTAAGGGAGACACCAGCCACCCTGTGGAGAAAACCCATCTCGGCCGCTTGTATCCGCGATCTCGTTCTTTCGGTCATGACCCATCCTTCATGACCATAGGTGAGGGTAGGAACGAAAATGGCCCGGTAGACAGAGAGCTTTGCCTTCTGGCTCAGCTCCCTTTTCGTCACAACGGTGCGGTAAAGCGACTGCAGTACCGCTCCCGCTGCTCCGATTCTCCGGCCCATCTCACGCTCCATTGTTCCCTCACTCGAGAACAAGACCCCGAGATACTTGAACTCCTTCACTTGGGGTCAAGTCAAAACATTTAATTCGGTCCAGAGTTGCATTCATTTTCAGCCAAGATCTTGTATTGCATCCTGGCATTGTCATCTTCAAATATGCCCGTGCCATCAGGGAAGAAAAAACTCCATTGATGGAAAGACATGGTCATTCAAAGTAGCAACTTTGTGTATTGATGTGGGTTGTAATGAAAGCTCTCACCGTGAAGACCTCTGTAACATGTATGATTGTATTGTGGGAGCGGTGTGTGAAGCCAGTAGACCGTGCTATATCTACTTTGGGAAGAGACACAACGTCAAGCCAGGGTGGAATAAACATGTGGCTGATCAATACGCTGAAGCTAAGAATGCTTTTGGGACCTGGGTCTGGGCAGGAAGGCTCAGAGAGGGGCCTGTCCTGGATCTCAAAAAGCTTACAAATGCTAGATATAAATATGCAGTTCGTTATGTCAACAAACATACAGAAACATTGAGAGCGGATTCTATGGCTGAAAAGCTCCATCATAATGATGTGACTGGCTTCTGGAAGGAGGTGAGAGCTCTGAACAGTCGTTACCATGTACCATAGAGGGAGTATCTGGAGCATCTGGAGCCCATAACATAGCTGAGTTGTGGAGGCAACATTACTTAATACTAGGGATGCACGATATTGGTTTTTTGAAACCGATACCTTCCTGCTTCTCAAGACCGATACCGATAACCGATAATAAAAAAATGTTTACGCCACTAATTATTTTAACGCGATTAACGCATGTGTATTTTTTTTCCTTGGCCGCCCCGTAGTTTCAGAGCGCATCGAGTTTAAAATACCATATACAAACTGATGCTGACAGCCCCGCTCCTGCCACGCTCACCGGCAGGCACCGACTGGCCATCTGGAGTGGAGTGCACCAGCTGGGCGTAAAAAAGTAGGGCTTAACTCTAATGTCGGGCTTAGCTACGTCCGACGTAGTGATTCGAATTTACACCGAGTGCACCAAGCCTGACTAGTCTCGGGCGTAGTCTTAAGATGCGCGTCCACGTGAATACACGCGAAACAGTAATTGTTGCCAAGCAACGCCATTTTACAGACTCAGAGGACCGCAGAGAAGAGGGAATTCCCACACCCACAGCGTCATCGATGACTCAAGGGGAATCCCAAATGGCCACACCCCGAAAGAGAAAGAAGGATTTGTCAGAGCTACAGCGGGAACTGACGGAGAAAGAAATCGTTCGTGTGGAGACCGTCAAATTGAGAGCGGAACACGAACAAATTGAGCTGGAGAAGGAGAAATTGAGACTCTTCTTAATGCCCTTTCATTGTTAAACATGTAAACAAGACGCCCTGCCATCGTTAATATCCTTCTTGCCTGTTTTACGTTACTATGGATACTAGTCTGTCTTTCCGATTTACGCCTGCTCCATACTAGGCGTAAAAGTTACACCCGGGCGCAACGCATACAGGGCTTAAGTCTAAGTGGTGCACTAGTCATAACTTTAGTTTGGTCTTAACCTTCGGTTCTACGTCGGACGTAGAGTTACGCCCAGCTGGTGCACTCCACTCCTGGAGGACCGGGAGGGTGTGTGTATGTGTGGCCCGAGCGAGCGAGAGTGACCTTACGTGCATTGTTGTTGTTAGCATCTGGTGCTAGCTAGCTGCGCTGACGGAGGAGCGACTAACGGAGGAGCGACATTTCGCCACAACTGTGCCGAGCACTTGACTTTATGCAGGAAGCCAGACAGTGGGACATTGTACGAAAAGTCAGCACACTCAGCACGGATAGTGCGCAACATGATTGCAGCGTCCAGGCAGCTCCGGTTCGAGCATATGCCTTGAGTTGCACATAGCTCCAACGCCCATACCACCGACGACATGTTTGTTTACTGTCCTGGCTTCACGGGTTCACGGGTTTCACCATTTACGTCACAGCCAGGCATGAGTTAGGGAGCGCTGGATTTGTGAAAAACTCCCCTCCTCCTAAACCACTAATACCACAGTCCTGGCAAAACGGGAGGAGCCGAGTGAAAAACAAGCGCCCCTCATCCCAATCCACCGACACCGCAGTATTTTTTTCTTTTTTTTTACCCAAAAAATATATTGTATATTATCGGGGCTATTAATACTGGTATCGGGTTTATCGGGATGACGTCATAATTCCTAATATCGGGCCGATAATTATCGTGCATCCCTACTTAATACTTAATTGTGTTAAAAGTGACCCCTGGGAATCACAGCTAAAGAGGTTTATCGAGCAATTGAACAGCTAGCTGATAACAAAGCATGCGGCTCTGACAGAATCACTGCAGAGCACCTTAAACTGGCAAGCCCGAAGGTTGCAGTTCTTCTTGCCATTTGTTTTACCGGCCTCATGACTCATGGTATGTTGCCGGACTCCATGTTGACTGTTACCTTGGTGCCTGTCATTAAGGACAAAGCGGGCAAGGTATGGAGCTTCAGGGTTTCCCACACATAGACTATACTTGGGCGGGCCGCCCAGGTATATTAACGGCCGCCCAAGTATATTTCGTGACCCATTTAGTTTTTTTTTTATTCGTCCGTGACCACGATGCCATCTGCGATCGATTAACTTGTGGACAATGATCCCTCGCTCCCGTGCTCTGATCTCGCCTCCTTCTGGCCTGTTAAGTGGCCTGCCTCACACAGGGTGACTGGCTGTCCACATGATGTGGCCTGCCGACATGGCCACTGTCATACAGATCATAAATCAAAGCCCTTGATTGTTCTCTGTGTGTCATTCAAGCTCGGGATAACCTCAGCTCAGGTGAGGTAAAGGACTCCCTGAGTGTTTAGATAGTTAACTTAGTCTAAGTTCTCAGTGGGTCTCAAACGGTGTGGTCACCATTTATGTAAACACATATTTCCATTTGAGAGGGTAGTGATTGGTCTAATGGATAGTGAGGTGGGCTGAAGATCGGAAGGCTGTGAGTTCAAATCCCGCCAGGAATACCACCACTAGTGTGCCCATGAGTAAGGCACTTAGCCCTTAGTTACTCCAGGGAGAATGTCCCTGTAATCGGTCATTATAAGTCGCTTTGGATAAAAGCGTCAGCTAAATGAAATGTAATGTGATTAGTAAAATATGCATGAATAAATAAATAAAAAACTAGGTGAAAAAAGTAGGGCCGGGACTTTAACGCGTTAATTAAGATTAATTAATTACACAAAAATTAACGCGTTAAAAAAATTAACGCATTTTAATCGCACTTATTTTTGCACCGCGGAACGTTTCTCACTGGATGAGTTTCAGGCGTACCGATTATACTGGAGCACCAACTAACGTTCATGACTTCAGACAACAACAAACCACAGTGAACAACAGTGGGAAATGTTGTTTTAAAAAACGGACGGATGGAAGCGTCGATAAGAGCACGGTTGTGTGCAAATTATGCAAAAAGGAATTCGCATATCACCGCAGCACATCAAGCCTCAAGTATCACCTCAATGCAAAACATATAGCAGCTAGCGTGGAAGCGTGGACGTTAGCCTCTTTTATCGCGTTCACACCAAAAAGAGCCGGTACTAAAATTAGTTAATGAGAACCTTTTTACCCCCACGAAAGTCACTGCTAGAGAGCAGAGAGCTGCTAGAGAGCAGGGACTTTCGTGCGGCTCTCTTGTGAGAAAAGAGCTATATTTCTGATTGGCTGGGCGGATTGCAAACCACGCCCCGTAAAACTCCCAAAAAGTTTTGTGAAGCCGCCATTTTATTATCCTCGCATTAGCATTATTAGCATTAGCCCAGCGCAGAAACGCAGAGAGACTAACTTATGGCAACACAAAATAAAACATGGGAGCGGTGGAGATGAGGAGGTGTCGGCGTTCTGGCGATTTACTCAGAAGGCTTCAGTAGAAGCTGCTGGGACTCCTAGCAGCTTCTACTGAAGCCAGTCCCCAACTCCGGGGACTTCCGGCCGGGGACTTTGGGTGGCAGTATACGCCGTGAAGTGGTTTGCGGCCTGCCAGTAAACCCAAAGCAGAAGAAGAAGAAGTGACGTCAGCGGCTTCATTTGCCTAATCCACCCCCAGGTTCAAAGAGTTCTCATGAACTAAATTCTCATGAACCTTTGTGGGAAAAGTACTGCGGTGTGAATGCGCCTAATGGTATACTAAAATCCATGTGAAAAAAAATTGCTTCTCACTGTTCTTAGGTCAAATATGTATATGCGATTAAAAATGCGATTAATTTCGATTAATTAATTACAAAGCCTCTAATTAATTAGATTAATTTTTTTAATCGAGTCCCGGCCCTAGAAAAAAGGTAAGATACACTTTTAAAACTTGTTGAGAGAAAACTAGTCTTTGCTGCTGCCTCAAAGAGGAGCAGGGGGGAGAGGAGGGAGACAGGAGAGGCTGATTCAGGAGCACAGACACACTCACTCACAACTATACATTAACCAAAAATAAATGAATAAACAAGTTTCAGTGTTTTTTTCATATTGGAAATGGTATGTTATTGGTTATGGCCATGATTTTATGATTATTGAAATGTATACAGTGCTGTTTAATATAGGTGTTTCCATAGATCGTCTTTTTATTTTCCCCTCAAAATGCACCAGATTGATGCAGTTAACTCCAAAATAAAAAATAAAATCTTACCGGGGGGGGGGGGGGGGGGGGGCATCCCCCTGGATCCCCCTAGAGGATTTGAGGTCGACCCCCACTAAAAATCACATAGATAGGTTCCTAAATACATTTATAAATACATTTATTTTTTAAAATAGTAACTCATTTCCATATGTTCATGTGTGGGTAGTAGATTTAAACTATAGGGCTATCATTATGGGCCCTGCCTGTACCTGTTCGCTCTGCCATCGCGTGAAGGGTCTGCTAACAAGCGACCAACAGAAAGGTTAATGTTAATGTTGTTGCACGTCACCTCAACCCCCCCCCCCCCCCCCGCTACCACCACCCCCCAAGTATATTCCAGATCTGTGGGAAACACTGAGCTTGGATAACTATAGACCAATTGCTCTAGCTAGTGTGTTATCCAAAGTCCTGGAAATAATTTTGTTAGATAGATTATCTATGCTTTGAAGGAAATGGTAGAAACATATAGGAGACAGAATTCCACACTGTTCTGATTGGTTTCATTGATGCCTCTAAGGCTTTTGATCGAGTTAACCATCATAAACTGTTTTTAAAATTGAGACAAAGGGGTGTGCCTAACAGTATAATTAGGATCCAGGCTTATTGGTATGCCAACCAGAGCATGCGGATCAAATGGGGGAATGCAGTCTCGGCGCCATTTGGTGTTGGTAATGGAGTCCGCCAGGGGGGGCTCCTCTCACCATGCCTTTTTAATATCTATATGAATGATCTATCAGATGATTTAAGTGTCTGTAAAACAGGGTGTGTGATTGGTAATGTGGTTGTAAACCATCTTATGTGCCAATGATTTGGCTATTGTTTCTCCTAGCAGTGCTGGGTTTCAACAGTTGCTAAATGTTTGTTCTGATTATGGTGTCAATGCTAAGAAGAGCGCTGTAATGATCTGCAGAGCAAAAGGGGATAATAACCTTTGTTCTCCAACATTCTACCTGTCAGGACAGGTGCTGTCTGTTTGCTGTAACACTAAGTATCTGGGACACATCATCACAGATGAAATGGCTGATGATGATGACATGTATAGACAGCGGCGTGTCTTATATATGCAAGCCAACATGTTGGCTAGAAAACTCTCTTGGTGTTCAGATAAGGTTAAGGTGAACCTCTTTAGAGCTTATTGCACTCCTCTCTATACTGCCCCCTTGTGGGTCAAGTTTAAGAAGGCGATCCTCAAGAAGCTCCAGGTTGCATATAATGACTGTCTGCGTATGCTTAGAAAACCAAGGTGGTGCAGTGCAAGTGTGTTGTAATGCACGAGTCAACACGTTCCATGCTCTTTTGAGAAATGTAATGTACAAATTAATCTGTCGATTGAATGTTTCTCATAACTCTGTCATTATGCTGCTTTCAAATCCGTGTCTCAGTGCTGTACGATACCAGTCACCTCTGTGGAAGTGGAGTGTTGTATGTCTTTTAATAATGGAGCAAGAGTCTCTTCAAATACAAGCTGATGATGATTCAGTATATTCAGGTAGTCAACTGACCTCATTCTTTGGGAACATAACGCTACTGAACCTAGATCATAACACTGCCCCCCCCAGGCTTGTACGATAGGCACTAGGCATGATGGGTACATCACTTCATCCGCCTCTCTTCTTACCCTGATGCGCCCATCGCTTCTGGAACAGGGTAAATCAAGATTCATTGATTTGGTTTTAATAATGCGTTGGACAGTTCTTAACCCGATTATAGTAGCCTCGAAACTGATTAACATCCTTTCCACGACCACAGGATATGTCTTCCAACATGGTTGTTTAAGAAATGAGAAGCTAAACACCACAACAGCTAGGATTAAATAACTTGTTGCCAGCTGAAACATATTATTCCCTGCAGTAATTATCCAATGGAAGGCTCTTAAAGATTGGCTAAGTTAAGTTAAATCCAGTTGGTGACTTTTTTTTGGACGGGCAGTGTATGACCATGAAACTAACCAGTTTAATACTTACAGTAAGACCAAATGTAATGCTAATTGCTGAACCTATACCGTATATACGGATGCAAAATGCAAATAGACAAAGTGTAGTAAAATACACACAAAACGCAACGTATATTGCAACTTCCACAATTACTTACAACCATTTTGTCGTGGCTATAACACATATTGACAGCATTCTTGGGCGGCATCATGTTCCACAGTCCGTCACTGCCGAGGATGATGAAGTGATGCCGACTGGGGTCAAGGGTCATCATGGTTGTATCGGGCTCTGGAGAAACCACAAACTCCCCGCTGTAGAAATCGTAGCTCCAAAGATCACCTTTCAACAGAAAACTAAATGTTATCACCTCTGGAGGAACAAAAGAGTACTGCAGGAATGAGTCCTAAAACACGGGAATGAGTTAGCATTGAGGCACCTCTGATTCGCTTGTTTCTTTTAAAGGGCTATTGGTTATAGGCCTGAAATGAGGTCTATGCACTCTATGGTTAACAAAAGCTTCGAAGATTTTCACATTTTGTTCTACAACATAAAATACATCAGTAAATACCTCACTTGTGAATGTCTGAAGCATGTCATAAAAACGGCGGTTACTAACAAGTGGCTAATTGAGACTACTAAATAGCCGCTTTCACACCGCAGGACTTGCGGTACTAAAGTACCACGGCACTGAATCCGCCAGGGGGCTAGTGCCATAGCCGCATTCACACCGCAGGACTTTCCCTGAGGCAAGATTACGCTGACGTCACTTCGTCTTCTTCTTCTCTGGGTTTACTGGCAGGCCGCAAAACCACTTCACGGCGAGTACAAAAAAAAACGAGAGAAGAAGAACTACAGGGGGAGGGGGTATACACACCTTAGTGCAAGTTAGGTGTCAGTATTAAAAAACAGTGGCAATATATATATATATATAATAACAATAGAAAATCGTTACCACTCTTATTATTGTGGTCTTTCATTTTGTATAGTCCTGCCTGAGTTTCTTTATTTTTACCCGGCATCCGTGTGCACTGTGCACGATTCCCAGCTCAAGTAGCTTTTGCGAACATCGCTCAAAACATTTGGAGTTGGGAACTGCTTTCTGTAGAAGCTGCTGCATCCCGTCCTCGGAGTAAATTGCCAGAGGCGCCGACACTTCCTCATCATTCCACCGCTCCGGTGTTGTACGTGTAGTCATGCTTTAAAGTACAAACAACCTATTCGCTCAGGTGTGGATGTGGTTTTGTAGCGAGGAAAAACATGGCTGCCTAACAAAACAAATTCAGAGTCTAACGGAGCGTGGTTTGCAATTCGCCCAGCCAATATAAATAGAATAGAAATTGGCACTCTTTTATCACCAGGTTAGTACCACCTCTCTAGCAGGGACTGAAAATGGCCAAAAGAGTTCCAAAAGAGTTCCCGGCACTGAGTAGTCCCGGCGGTGTGAACGCGACATTATTGGTACTAACGGAACTAAAGAACCAAAGTACCAGGGAAAGTCCTGCGGTGTGAATGCGGCTATTGTCATCATGCGAACATTAGCCGCGTTTAGCTTAGCGATGTTGACGTGAACACATGGCACCGTGCTGTAGTACCTTTATTGCCCAACGTTAGCTTTTTAATTCTTGAAATTTCATTAACACTTCAACTTAGTTTATTTGTGAAAGTGTTGTTAATATGTGGACATTTTACTGCTAAACTAAACGTGTAAATATCTTAAACCTGTTTGCCGCAGAGCTTATTTCTTGCAATATCCCCAAAATCAGATGGAAAAATCCTATTCATTTTGTCGAGGGAGCCCTTGCTATGCTAACTTCTGAGTGTGCTGACAAAAATAACTCATATCATCAAACTAACAGTGCGGACACTCTAGACAAAGGATGTGATCTTTACCGAGGGATCGGGCCACAGCCAGGAAGGGGATCTGGTCAATGACTGTGCTCCTCCTCACAGGGCCGTTATGGGTCAGCCTCGGCCTCTTCCACACTACACGGTTCACACCAGATTTCTTCATAACGCTACAGAAAAACAACACAATTCAATACAAAGCCTAGTTTGACAGGTAATACAGCAACGATATAAGGAAGGAACAATAGGCGGAAAAAAACCTCTGCCCTGTGTAGCAATGTTTTCAGGATCAGTAAATGCAATCCAACATTCAGAGAGTATGGCAGAAGAAGTGTTTTATAAGTTCTTGTCACAAATTCACCTGCCACCCAGCCGCTCGATCCTTTCTTTTTCCTTAGGAAGCTCAGGTTTATGGTCTTGTGTTATTTCAAGTGCCTGGAGGGTTATATCAGAGTCATTTTCTCGCACTCCAACCACCACTGCCGAATCCCCCACATGGGCCACATACATGTGAACCCCGCGGATCACAGTCACGCTGGCTGTGGTGCCTGATGTGCTGGGCAGGCCGGTGATAGTCTTCGGCCATTCCGCTGTAAAGGGAAAAGATACATAAAAAAAAGAAATGTTAACTCCATGATTCAATGTGGTCAAAGTTTGTAAGCGGGGGAACAGTGTCCATTATGAACAACAAGTGAGGATAGGTCTATTTTGTACTGATGGAAATGCAAAATAAAGGTTATTTAGGTATGGGAAAATATAAAATGGCACAATTATCATGGCCAACTATCCGTTTTACCAAATTGCACAGGTGCTCAAAACTATAAATGGCACTATATTAACTGGAATTACTTAGCCGCACATTTTGTTCAAAGGCAAATAATTGTTATTGCTTCACAGATAGGAAACCCACTTTCTTTTCTTCCCATTTTTTACACCTTTCTAGTTAAAAAACATCTTTCAATTAAGGTCAACAACATACATCTAAATAACCCACATGTTTGTACTTTTACTATGACTGTGAGCTACACAGCTTTTTCAAATCTCTTGTGAGAATATTGACAACTATGCCATTAATTGTTATTCACCATAATCAACTTATTGTGGGTGATTTATATCGTAATAAAATCTTAGTTTGTTTCATTACTATACAATATATTACTATGAGGAAAGCAGATGTTGCCAGTCACAGATCAGAGCTGTTCCATAAGTCATAATGAGCACATAAACCAGGCTTACTTGAGTAAATCTGCCATATTTTGGGTGAAATTCGGTTTCATAACAAAGGATTAAAAAGGTTGACCCATGTTATAAAATAAAAGCATCCCTGTTATGTTAGGCTAGTGCTGCAAGTCACATTTTAATTCAGGTTAAACCAATATTACATTCTAGTAAACAGACTGCAGTAGGCTACTTAACCACTGCACATATTTCCAAATCCTTTTGTCAGTCAGTATCCATTTGTAACCTACAAAATGTAAAACATGTTTTACTTCAGTGTGATCCGAGCTTCATTTGTGATGTGTTGTGGTCTGATTATTGATTTACATTGTAATTGGCTGACCAGTCTCCAAGATTGGGCACCATACAATTATCCCCATGTGACATAGTTAGGTAATGCAGAGACGATGACAGTTACAATGATATGCAATTTGCAGCAGTAAATATGGAATACATAATACACGTTAGCTTACGTAGCTCTTTCCACATTGCATGGTGACAGGCGATGAAGCCTTTCTTGAGAGCAGCACACACTTCACTGTGATCCTTCGACCAAAATCCCCGCTGCCTTTTCAATATCCCCCACAGATTCTCTCTGGCGAAATGTGCCGCTTCTCGACCCCCGTGGCCATCAAAGACAGCGAAAAAAGCCACAGACTTCCGAGTGTCGACAGCATGCTCCGAGGTTTTTCCCTCTGTGACCGGTGCGCTGCTGTTGTGACTGTCCTCATTCGGTACACTCTCTACCCACATTGCAGAAACCGGGCCGGACTCGGCAGCAGCGTCCTGGTCGTGTGTCTCATTTTCAGTCTGTTTTGTAGCTTCACCCTCCGCCTTTCCCTGTCCTCCATGTCCCTGCGTTTTGGGGTAATCTTCGCCTGTCGTCGGCGACTGAGTCGGTTCGTACTCGATTCTAATATCGACAACATCCTCCATGTATTTCCTCCCCCCTTGCTCCGAAAATGCACTCATACGAAATATTATTCCCTCTTCCATGATTGAGAACGTATAATGTTATATATCTATGCAAGGGCACATGTAAGCTAATTTTAGCTTGCAAACTAAACCTTTTAAACCCGAGTTTGCCGCGACTGTACAGCCGAAGGCTTCCTTCCTTTTTGTTTATCTTCTCCAAAACGTCCCGCTGTACGTGATGACGTACTGGTTTCCCACCTGCAAGTACGTATGGCACGACGGCTACTTTGCTGCCTTCGTGGGCGCTCGAAATAATTGGAAATTGCAATTTCATCACATTACAGACCACAACAAACTCTCGAGTGAGGCCCTTTTAACTTTTAACAAACGCTTGATGACATAATCCACCATGTGTCATACATTAATCCCAACTGCTTTAATTTCGCTTTAGTATGGAAAATTATGTCAAAATAACTTTAAAATAGACTCAAACAAATGAGGAGACCTTAAAGGTAGGGTAGGTAAGAATGGAGAAACCAGCTCGAGTGCGATAGCCTTTGAAAGTACACAGCCGAAAAAAATCTGCCCCTTCCTTCAGACTTCCTGGTAGGCTACGTCCACACAGCAGCTTTTCAAAAATCTTGAAAATCTTGGAGCTGGGCGTGTCTGAAAGCTTGGGGATTTTTTGCGAGCAACGCGACCAACAACCAATCACATGAATCTCCCGCCCCCAACATACAAAGCAAAAAACCACGGGGATTTTATGCGAGCAATATATATATATAAACTCCCCAAACAGGCGAAAACCTACCAGTTTCACCCACTGTCTCTGCCACCTCCCTCCATGCCTGGTTCCTCCGGTTTGTATCCCGTTAATAGTTCAATCAATCAATCAATCAATCAATCAATCAATGTTTATTTATATAGCCCAATATCTCAAATGTTACATTTGTCTCAGTGGACTTTACAGTTTGTACAAAATATCAGTATGACAGTTCTGGTCGTAAAGAACCGGGTGATTTGCTACCGTAATTTCTCGTTTGGAATATGAGGAAATGAACTGCGGTCTGGTTCTCCCTGCTTACACGCGGTTTGATTGGCTAGCGCTTCTACTGTCAGATTTGCATAAACGGGATTTGATTGGCTGACGCTTCCAGCTCAGTTTCAAAAGTTGAACATTGCTCAACTTTTGAATCCTGGAAATCCTGGAAATCCTGGAAATCTTTGCTTCGCTCCCCCACAATGCAGTTCGGCGAAAAGCGAGGCAAAGTGACGTCATCCCCATTAAAAGTCAATGGGCAGAGAAGCGTTGGAAGATTTGTTTAAAGCTGCTGTGTGGACGTACCGTATGCTGCGTTCACAGCGGACGCGATGCGATGTTTGGGGGCGGGGCGATTACATGTAAAATCAATAGGCTTGTTTGAGAAAATATGAGGTGTGATTAGTGCCAAAGAACAGATAACTAAGCTAACTGAGCGGAGAACTGACGTGTCAATGTGCGCCAACGCCTCCATCAATTTTGAATGGGTTGACGTAGAATACAGGCGACGTGACGACGATGTCAGACGTCACGGCGACGTATCATAGGTTCGCTCAAAGTACGCGCTCACGTGGCGACGGCGCAATGTAGTAGTAATCGAGACCGGTCTCCAGACCACCTTTTAACGGTATTGGTCTTGTCTCGGAATCGACTGTATTTGCTCATTCTTGTCTCGGTATTGGACCTTTAGGACTCGAGATTTTATGTCAAGATTGGTCAAGACCACGGCTGTGGCTGGGGATGTGATCCGGTTCCGATTTGGAACAAATAACAATTGTCCGGTACGGGGATTAATAAGAGTTGCGTCTAGCGGTCTAGCGTCTCTCTCTCTCTCTCGATCCGATCTTTATGCAATACATTAAGAGAAAAAAAGGTAACAGATAACTGCTGGTCATCCAACGCGATGCATTCAGCTATCTTGGCTGTTATTTTTTTGGCCTTTTCACTGTTCTTGGGCAGTTTCTCTTTCCTTTTAAAAGTCTCTGAAAGTGTTGGTTGTTTCAGTGCCGTTACCTGAGTGGCCGCTGTGTACTTGTCGTGTTGTTGTTTGTGTTTGTTTCACAGGTGGCGTATTAGATTGGTCGTGTTGAACGTAGCTCTGTTCTTTCCACCACGCGGAACATCCACCTTGCAAACATTGCATCTGGCTGTTACACTGCCTTCGCTTTCAATTTTATAATACTTCCAAACTCCTGACATTTTCTCTGTCCCGACTCCCGAGTCACCAGCTGAACGTAGCCTCTCGTTAGCTTACTGCTACTATTAGACACTGCGCCCACTCTGTTGCCAGCTTTGAGAGAAATAAGCAACCAGGTCTATGAAGCAAGAATGAAGCAACACATACATGATGTTGTGTAATTTTAAACCAAAACTAAGGCCTCACGATGACTTTAAGACGTGAACATGGTCATTTTTGTTTTGTAACATTAAATAAAATAATACAAATATTTTATTAAAAAAAAAAATTCCCGATCCCCGATTTCTTTTCTCCCGATTCCGATCTTTTGAAAATCACGTGATCGGCTCCGATCCCCGATCACGTGATCGGATCGGGACATCTCTAAAAATAATACGTGTTTAATTCAGCACAGATGCAGTGACTGCAGGCCAAATCCATTAATTAATGCGGCATATATTGAAGGTGTTCAAAGTTGCACGTATGAGGCGCAGTGAGAACCACGCACCTGTCAGACTATAGCAAATGGGCACATTTAAATTTCAGGAGAATAATGAAGATGTGATTGGTTGTTCCACTCTCCGTTTCTCACGAGACCAGCGCGCTGCTGTTTACATTAGTGTAGACTGGACCGACTGAAACTGGCGGCAAGAATATACACTGAACAAAAATATAAACGCAACACTTTTGTTTTTGCTCCCATTTTTCATGAGATGAACTCAAAGATCTAAAACATTTTCTATATACACAAAATAACCATTTCTCTCAAATATTGTTCACAAATCTGAACAAATCTGTGATAGTGAGCACTTCTCCTTTGCCGAGATAATCCATCCCACCTCACAGGTGTGGCATATCAAGATGCTGATTAGACAGCATGATTATTGCACAGGTGTGCCGAATGGCCACAATAAAAGGCCACTCTGAAACGTTCATTTTTGCTTTATTGGGGGGGTCCGAAAACCAGTCAGTATCTGATGTGATACCATGTAATGATTTAAAAACTAGCAATAGTACTTTAAAATAAATTATTTGACTGACTGGAAGCCAATGTAGATATTTCAGAACCGGACTGATGTGATCCACTCTTTTAGTATCACCAGTGAGGACACGTGCAGCAGCGTTCTGGATCAGCTGCAGTTTTCTGATGGATTTTTTTGTCAGCCCTGTGAATACATTGCAGTAGTCGAGTCTACTGAAAATAAAAGCATGGACAAGCTTTTCTAAGTCCTGTTGTGACATTAGTTTTTTAATCCTCGATATATTCTTCAGGTGATAATAAGCAGACCTAATGACTGTTGTAATGTGGCTGTTGAAGAGGCTAAAATGATCACAAAACATTGTCAACATTCATTTTCTATGTCTCTCTCCTTTCCATAACCTGCACCCTCTCTTCCATCTTCTTTAGTCTCTCTGTCTTCTTCCTGTTCATTACTCTCTCTGTCCTGTACTCTTTCTCTTTGTTCAATCTCTCCCTCGTTGTTCACTTTTTGCTCCTCACTTGTCGCTCCTGCCAGTGAATTAAAAGCAATTCAGCAATTTAGTTCATTTCACTTGTTTGTTTGCATTATTTATTTTATTTAAATCTGTTTTGTTTGATTCTCAAAAGAGAACAAAGATGTAGGCCTAAGCAAATTGTGTTTTATACAATTGTATGTAACTGCAATAGATGTGTTGTTTTAAAATTATGCCTATTGTCTATATTGTAAATGATAGATAGATGGGGTTATTAAGCCTACATTATTTTGTGTGACTGTACCTGCAGTTCCTCCCTGACTTCCATCACTTTCTCTCTCTCTCTTTCTCTCTGCCCGTCATGTCTCTTCATTACCAAAGCTGAGCTTCGACTGATGTAGTCTTTTCATTATATCTGAGTCAGTGTAAAAAGAAAACAATACAATGCTATATCTTCAATGTTTACTGTTACGTTCCCTTCTAAATCTAGGGGGTACAAAGGGAAGTAACAACACACAAGGATGACCAAGCACGACAAAAAAGGAGAGAAAACCGATCTCTGAGTAACGAACAAGTCGTTTAATGAACAAGACAGGAACACAGGCTCACCAGCCAACTTGCACAGAATACTACAGCATCGATAAATCACGGAGCTCCCCTCCTATCAATCGGCAAGACACAGGTCTGCACACATGCAGCCAGAGGAGGAAAAAAGGAGACCCCACTGCAGTCTTCCTCCGGTCCTATATGGAGGCCCTGATTTGGAATTAGGAGCACCTGGGGAGAGGCTGCACCTGGGGACAATCAGGCTGCACCTGGGGAGTCAGAGGGAGAGAGAGAAAAACACACACACGACCACACAAACACTACGGCACGTAACATTACTCAAATTGAAATGAAAGAAAAGCATTACAACGTTTGTTAAAAGGTAATCCTTCTGACATTGGATGAATGTAATTAACTTGAGCTCTCTAGCTAGTTTATTCACGCAATTTAAACCAACGTTTAGCCTATAGCTGCAATATAAGTTAGTGTGCATGTTGTCGGACGTCCCTGACTAACGTAGAGCGTTCACACAGGATCTGCTGGTCCTATGATTAGTGATGTTACGTATTGCGCCGAGGCTTCGGAGCGTGTGTCGAGTAATCCACACAGGCCATTCGTTCACGGCCCTATCGGCTGCCTGAACATAAGAGGAAAATTGTTCAGGCGGAGCTTCAGGCTATGCTAGAAATGGGAGTGATAAAAGAGTCCACCAGTGACTGGTGTTGCCCCGTCGTGCTGGTACGTAAGTCCGACGGGTCAATCCGGTTCTGTGTGGACTACCGCAGGGTGAACGAGGTGTCCAAATTCGATGCTTATCCAATGCCCCGGGTCGACGAACTCCTGGATCGGCTAGGCACCGCTCGCTTTTACACGACGCTGGATTTAACCAAGGGCTATTGGCAGATTCCCCTTTCTCCAGAGTCTAAGGAAAAAACGGCCTTCTCCACTCCGTATGGTTTATACCAATTCATCACACTTCCTTTCGGGTTGTTCGGAGCTCCAGCCACCTTCCAGCGGCTCA